GATACCGCCGCCGTCTCTTACAAGCCGAGCCACCGTTTGACGAACAAACCCTTCAACCCTGTGCCCCACGCGGATCGCCGCCTGTGGGAGAATATTTTTCGAAGTTATTTAGGAAGTCGAATTATGTTTCTTTTATTTTGGATGGAAGAATCGTACATGTTGTTTTTTATTTATAAAAATCCAAATCCTTTTCCATTTTGATATTTTATTTAGTGAATGCATCATTTGCTTGTAATAATAACAATAATAAAAAATAATTATGGACAAATAATATAATATATTTAATGAATAATATTATTTTCTTCAAAATACAATTTGTTTCTACATGTATTTAATAATATATACAAATGTTAATAATTAATACTTTTTATGATTATGCAAGCATTAAATAAAACAACTTTGTAAAATAATTTCTTTCCAATTATACAACATTTCATAATTATACAAAATTATAATAAATTATACATTGCATATTATATTAAATTATACATTACAATTATATATTGTAATAAAATTAGCAAGCAATTAAAAAAAGAATTTGGATTTCTTTTCTTCAATTTTTGAAATGGAACACAAAAGTTTCTTCTAAAGTTTATTAAGAAATTAATATTGAGAATTCCTTTCTTTTTTTAAAATTCTTTTTAATAATTAATTTTAATAATTTATATCAAAAAAAAAATAATAAACAACATATACAATGCTACATTAACAATCACAAAATGAAAACAATAAAACTATATCATACATGCAATAGAAATAATAATAAATTCGAAATAAAATAGGACTTCATATATTGTTTAAATAATATTTGTAGAAAAAAGGAAAAAAGAGATAAAGAGGGAAAAAAAAAGAAATTGGAATTTTTGCATATGATATGATAAATTATGTGTCTATCCGATAGTTTCTTTTTATTAGATCTATCTGCTGCACAACTATAATAAACACTACTTTTAATTGTTCTTCAAATCGGTATAAACACAATATTATAATATCATCCTCTATTGTAGTATGTAATTGAAATTTTTCATTTACAAAAAATTTAATTATTTTTCTCAATATTATATTATAATTTAATATTTAATATTATAATTGAAAAAAATACATAAAATTTAAGAAAAATATTTGATATTTTAATATTTAAATAATATTTAAATATTTAAATACTTTTTATTATTGTTATTAATTGTCAATAATAAAATATTAATTATAAAATTTAACTTCAAAATTCGATTGGCATTATTGTTAATATCATTTAATATATATATACAAATATATTAATGACATTAATCGGATCAAAACACTCGATTACATTTTCAAATATTGTTCGTCATTATCGTCGTCATGTTTTGTCCGTGATGTCGTAGGAAGGTCACCTTTCACTTTTCAATTCTATATATTTATATATATATATATATATTTTTGCTTATTTTCCGAAGATAAATTTATATAACAAACTATCGAAAATTAATCGAAAATTAATTAAAACGGATATTAATTAATAATTAAATATCTTTTTTTTATTGCAACGTTTTTTTAACATCGATTGCAAAGCATTAATCATATAAATGTATAAATAATAACTTTCTGTAAAGTATTATGCGAAGAAACTCTTCTCTTCGATACTTGTTTGCATAATATTAGAATGATATGATAATAGAAATATGCATATGATATTCAATTACATTGATCAATTAAATCCTATAAATTGTTATTGATCGAAATTAATAATCTATTGCCTAAATTTGAAAAAAAATTAACAAATATTGAATACAACAATAAGTATTCGAAAATATTAAATTGTTTGAAATGAGATAGAATAGGAACAGCTGATTCACGTTTCGATGTTTAAAGAAGCGTATTGATTTTTCGTATATAAAAGTATCACTTCAATATTTTGAATAATTTCGCGCCAGTTATGAGTATACACGAAAAGTAGAAAAAAAAGAATAAAAACACATTTGAATGTTAATATACATAATGATATTAATAGTTCGATGTAAAAAGACAAATAAAAAAAATAATATTTGATATGTCAATAAAGAAATATATATGTAGTTTGTGGCGAATGTCAAATGTACAACATAAAATTAAGGTTAGAAAGGATTAGGTTAAGTTGAATTTTCGCACAAGAGAAAGAGCAAAAAAAATTCGAAAGAGGGACACGAGCATATCAGTGACGCGACAGACAGAGGCATAAGGACCTTGGCGGGTCGACAGACCCACGTCAAGAACGTGCGACGACCCCGACCCCGCATAGGGGAGCAACCCCTCTCCTTTCTTACATCTCTTAGCCCGTATGTCTCACTGTTCCATCTTTCACACCTTTTGTACACATGGATTCTAACCCTTTTCCTGCTTACCTCACCCTCTCTAACAAGTTTACCGTTCCGTCACTGGTGCACTTCACACCCCTCTTTCCTTCTACTACTACTACTATTACTACTACTAGCACTACCGAACGAACAGTACGGAACCAGAACAGAATGGGGAATAGTACACAAACATGTATATTATATGTATACACACATACACACATAAAACGGCGCACTCGACAACAGAGTAGGACAGCTGAGCCACCACTGCCCCACCAGTTTTATGTAAGAGACATCTTGCACCGTGTCCACAGTACCTTCCACGAAGGTTAAGCCCGACACGGGCACACAAATAATCGTAATACTTTACGTTAGAATTACGCACTACACCACTGCACTAGAACAAAACTCCAGCTAGGCTACCCCATCGACGACAACAACAAATATGGCGAGCAAACCTCCTCCTGCACCTCGCTGCAACGACTGCCGACTGACCGCTAGGTGGCGATCGTAACGCCATCCCAACGACCCCTACCCGTGTCATTATTTCGGTCATAATCGGAATATTTCGGATTTCGCACTGGCATTTTCGCGGCAATTCAAATATAAAATATTTTTTTCTAAAAATATTTTTTTTTCATTATAAATTAAATTAAAGCATATGAAATATAATATTAAATAAAAACTGCAATATAATATTGAATATATTCTCATTGAAAATCAATTTAAAATTATAATAATTTCATTATCATGTAATATTATATTTCGTATCCAATAAATTATATCGTGACTTTATTATTTTTTTTTATTTTTTTATATATTTTCATAAAATATTGTTATTGAATTGAATTTATATTTATATTTATTATATTTAATTTTAAATTAAATCATATTTTTTAAATTAAAAATATATTTTTTTAAATTTATAATTACATCTAAATTATATTAATAAATCTCAAATTAATTGAATTTTTCAAATATTTTAATTATTATATGTTTAATAGATTAATTTTATTTTAAAAATTATATAAATAAAACAATGTTTTTAATAATAATCTAAAAATTTTTAATAAAAATATATCTTTTGTTTTAATATTTAAATAAAAATTTAAAATATTTGAATTTACATTATATGATAAACA